GTTTTTGTTCGTGTGTGTGCCTATGTTTGTGTTCATGCATGTGCCTGCATTCCTTTTTTAAAATTTTTCAAAATGTGTTCATGTGTGTAATATAGTGTTTCCTCGGGGCCAGTCGTTGTTCATGTCTATAATATTGTGTTTTTCAGAATGTGTTCCTGCATTCCTCTAATTTTTTAGACCTGGGTCAGTCGGTGCAAGAAGGGTAATGCAAAAGCATAAATTTCTCAACTATAACATAAGTTGGGATGTCACAACTTTAACATAAATTTCTCAAAAAAGGTGTATAAAATGAGTTTTGATTGTAATTTATACTAGAATATCCCCTCATATAATTATGTCTTATGTTTTCATTCAACAATTGTGAGAATAATAGAAACATTTTGAACAAGTAGAGATTAATCAAACGTGCAAGTCCTAGACTAAAGAATATCAAGATAGGAATGAGTTAAATCATAGTTTCAACAACTTCAGATAACAAATTGGATCAAAAGTAACAATTACAACAAAGCAATTGGTGTAAGCTTCTAAAATAAATGAGTTTATTGATTCTTAGACCCATGGATACCATTGACAATGTTATCATCCATGGGTTATTGTGGNTAAATGTACATATTTGAGGAGAGACCGACCAAACAATACATTACACATACCCTTGGACGGTGGTATACATTGCAACACCCCCGGTAGTCCTTGCTCATCATAATGTCGCCGCGACAGATCCCAGAATACAACACTTTTAATCTCACATCCTGATCACCAATAGTCCTGCACAATCATACCACACACATTACCACCACTATCATCGTACCAATAAACATGGTCACTCAACCAAGCTATATAACTAAAATATTTTAAACTGACTCATAAAAAATATGTCATGTCAAAAGGAAGAAAGACTTTCGTCTTGTTAATTTATAATGAATCAGATATTTTCTTCCATCGGNATGTCTATAATATTGTGTTTTTCAGAATGTGTTCCTGCATTCCTCTAATTTTTTAGAACTGGGTCAGTCGGTGCAAGAAGGGTAATGCAAAAACATAAATTTCTCAACTAAACATAAGTTGGGATGTCACAACTTTAACATAAATTTCTCAAAAAAGGTGTATAAAATGAGTTTTGATTGTGATTTATGCTAGAATATCCCCTCATATAATTATGTCTTATGTTTTCATTCAACAATTGTGAGAATAATAGAAACATTTTGAACAAGTAGAGATTAATCAAACGTGCAAGTCCTAGACTAAAGAATATCAAGATAGGAATGAGTTAAATCATAGTTTCAACAACTTCAGATAACAAATTGGATCAAAAGTAACAAGTACAACAAAGCAATTGGTGTAAGCTTCTAAAATAAATGAGTTTATTGATTCTTAGACCCATGGATACCATTGACAATGTTATCATCCATGGGTTATTGTGGTTCAAGAGCAACGCGAGAGAAAAATGGAATCTAAGCGTGTGTGTGTGTGTGTGTGTGTGAGAGAGAGAGAGGGAGAAAATATATTATCCCCTTTTATAGCCCATATTAAGTGTCCAATCATTTGATCCTTGTGTTTCTCGTGTTTTCGAAAATGAAAAGTCCATTTTGCATTCTGTATCCCCCAAAACTCATGTACAGTGTTTTTTAAAACATCTCTTTTTTTTCTTTTCGGTATTCAAGTTTTCAAAAATGTAAAACCACAAAACCAATAATTTTCATCTTTTTCCTATGTTTTTCAAACACTAATCAAGTAAACCCAAAATAACCACCAAGTCATGTAATGTAGTGACGCTTGGCATTCATTAAAAGTCTTACGGTAAATAGCATTTAATGAAGAATGTATATGTATCATTTTTTCATTTATTAAAATTAANGTGTGGGGAATTGTGGCTTGGGCTTTGTGAGGTTGCATTCCTCTATATATGTGTGTCAGTGGGAGAGAGAAAGAGAGGAAGATAATTTATATAATAAAGTAGCTAGGACCCAGCAACTCCCAACAACCTATCTCTTCCATACCCATCTCTTCCATTTTCCCTCCAATTCTCTCCCGGCACATCAACCCATCAAACAACCCAGCAACTACAGCTACCCATCGCTTCCATTCTCTCTTCCATTTTTAAAAATACTTGCAACCCATCTCTTCCATTTTCCCACCAACTCTCACCCGGCACCTCTCTCTCTCTTCCTTATCTCTCAAGTTATCTCTGTCTCTCTTCCTTATCTCTCATCTAAATCTCTTTCTCATTTTTAAAAACAAACTACTTTCTCTTATCTCTAACTTTTTCCCCACACCGAAGTAACCACCCTTTCCCTTCCTCTCTGTCTCTATCTTGCGCCTCCAATACACACTGAACAAACCACTGTGAGCAGTCCAGGTATTTCTCTTTGGCTCTTCTCTTTCATTCTTTCTCTCACTGTGCGTGTGTTTTTGTTCATGTGTGTGTGTGGCTGTGTGTTCATGTGTGTGCCTGTGTTTGTGTTCATGTGTGTGCCTGCATTCCTGTATTTTTAATTTTTCAGAATGTGTTCATGTGTTTAATATATTGTTTTGTCAAGGCCGGTCGGTGTTCATGTGTGTAATGTACTGTTTTTCAGAATGTGTTCTTGCATTCCTGTAATGTTTTAGACTTGGGCCCGTCGGTGCAAGAAAGTAATGCAAAAACCAAAGAGAAAAAAAAAAAAACCTTCGTCCTTAAGTTAAATATAATACCCATAAGACCCAGATTAGTGGCTTGCAATTCAAACCCGGGAAATGAAATAAGAAACACATGAAACAATGCATGTGTGTGTGTGCGCCTGTGTGCTGTGTTCATGTGTGTGCCTATGTTTTTGTTCGTGTGTGTGCCTATGTTTGTGTTCATGCATGTGCCTGCATTCCTTTTTTAAAATTTTTCAAAATGTGTTCATGTGTGTAATATAGTGTTTCCTCGGGGCCAGTCGTTGTTCATGTCTATAATATTGTGTTTTTCAGAATGTGTTCCTGCATTCCTCTAATTTTTTAGAACTGGGTCAGTCGGTGCAAGAAGGGTAATGCAAAAACATAAATTTCTCAACTAAACATAAGTTGGGATGTCACAACTTTAACATAAATTTCTCAAAAAAGGTGTATAAAATGAGTTTTGATTGTGATTTATGCTAGAATATCCCCTCATATAATTATGTCTTATGTTTTCATTCAACAATTGTGAGAATAATAGAAACATTTTGAACAAGTAGAGATTAATCAAACGTGCAAGTCCTAGACTAAAGAATATCAAGATAGGAATGAGTTAAATCATAGTTTCAACAACTTCAGATAACAAATTGGATCAAAAGTAACAAGTACAACAAAGCAATTGGTGTAAGCTTCTAAAATAAATGAGTTTATTGATTCTTAGACCCATGGATACCATTGACAATGTTATCATCCATGGGTTATTGTGGTTCAAGAGCAACGCGAGAGAAAAATGGAATCTAAGCGTGTGTGTGTGTGTGTGTGTGTGAGAGAGAGAGAGGGAGAAAATATATTATCCCCTTTTATAGCCCATATTAAGTGTCCAATCATTTGATCCTTGTGTTTCTCGTGTTTTCGAAAATGAAAAGTCCATTTTGCATTCTGTATCCCCCAAAACTCATGTACAGTGTTTTTTAAAACATCTCTTTTTTTTTTTTTGGTATTCAAGTTTTAAAAAATGTAAAACCACAAAACCAATAATTTTCATCTTTTTCCTATGTTTTTCAAACACTAATCAAGTAAACCCAAAATAACCACCAAGTCATGTAATGTAGTGACGCTTGGCATTCATTAAAAGTCTTACGGTAAATAGCATTTAATGAAGAATGTATATGTATCATTTTTTCATTTATTAAAATTAAAATAGAGAGTGAATTGGGCTCTTCAAATGTAAAGAACCTATTGGAGGTTGATTTTTGGTGGTTAACTCTCTAAAATGAAGAGTTGAGTGAGAATAAAGAATATATTAGAGATGTTCTAAGAAGTGTTATAGTCAAGCCTTGATAAGGATTTCACAATTTTGTTGTTATATAATTCACAGTAGATTGATAATTAAGTCGAATTTTGCGAGTTCGAGTTAAGTTTGTCGAGTTCATTTTTCTAAATTAGCTTAAAATATTATTGGGGCTCAACTATCGAACCGAGCCTAATTAACTCAACTATTTTACTCATAAACGTGAAAAATTGTTCAAACTCAACTCGTTTAAAAAACAAACCGAGCCCGAATCAAGTGAAACTTGAATCGAGTTTTGATGNTTTCACAATTTTGTTGTTATATAATTCACAGTAGATTGATAATTAAGTCGAATTTTGTGAGTTCGAGCTAAGTTTGTCGAGTTTATTTTTCTAAATTAGCTTAAAATATTATTGGGGCTCAACTATCAAACCGAGCCTAATTAACTCAACTATTTTACTCATAAACGTGAAAAATTGTTCAAACTCAACTCATTTAAAAAATAAACCGAGCCCGAATCAAGTAAAACTTGAATCTGATANATGTCTATAATATTGTGTTTTTCAGAATGTGTTCCTGCATTCCTCTAATTTTTTAGACCTGGGTCAGTCGGTGCAAGAAGGGTAATGCAAAAGCATAAATTTCTCAACTATAACATAAGTTGGGATGTCACAACTTTAACATAAATTTCTCAAAAAAGGTGTATAAAATGAGTTTTGATTGTAATTTATANGACAGCCCAAAACTATGTTGTCCAAAAACAAAACAGCCCAAAGTTTGGCCTTCACGGTCGTACTCAGGCCCACCCAAAAGGAGTGGCAATCACCTTTCTAACGGTCATAAGAAATTGAAATTTGAACGTGCTACAAACTACCCAACATAACACCAAGTAAAAGAAAGCACATTTCCCCCTCTCATCTCTTTCAAAATCACTGTTTACAGCAAAAAAAACCTTCCAATAATTTCAAGATTTTCTCTGTCCGCAGAAAGNGGTCATAAGAAATTGAAATTTGAACGTGCTACAAACTACCCAACATAACACCAAGTACAAGAAAGCACATTTCCCCCTCTCATCTCTTTCAAAATCACTGTTTACAGCAAAAAAAAACCTTCCAATAATTTCAAGATTTTCTCTGTCCGCAGAAAGCCAGAATACCCAATTCCAAATGGAAGACATTCAATTCGACGCATCTGTTCAAAACTCGGAAGTTTTTCACTGGGAAAAGCCCATGGATCCAGAAAATGGAGTTTCCGCCATGGACGAAACCGAAGAATCCTTGGTTGATTCCATGGTTTGTGACTCGGGTTCAAGACTTGTCCCAAGTGGATTTACAAGATCAAGTTGTGCAGGTTGGTAAATCTTCGTAAAGTTTTGATTTTCCCTAATTGGATCAGGGTTCACAAGATCTTGAAACGGGTCAAAATTTCTCAAACCAAGAATGTAAGGTATTTTTGGGGTTATTGAAGCAATATGTGGTTTCTCATTTCTGCTATTGAATGTAGGCAATCTTTTAGAATACTTTACATTTTTTAAGCATATTCAGTACCCATTTTATCGATTATGAAGTGCCTAAATTTTTTGGAAGGGAATTGTTTTTGCACATGAACTAGTTTTGGTTGCTGAGAAATTGTGGGCATAGAAACGGAAAATCTAATCTTGGAAACTTATCGGAAGTTTCAATGTGGATGGTATAACTAGGCTTTGTGATGATATCAAAGTAGCGAAACTTTCTTTTTTTTTTTTTCGAAACCAAATTTAAGGTCGAAATGTTAATTTTATACTGTGAACTGGGAATTTATGTAGTGACTTTATGACATTGGTTTCTTGAAGCAGAAGGAGTTCTGATGTTTTTAAATGCTGGAGGTGGGGAGGTTTCAGTGGAAGCAGATTCAAGTGTTAGCTTCTTGGCTGATAGCTTTTTTGATGGGGGAGATACATTTCAGACTGAGGAGTGTATAAGTGACGGTGGTGACTATCCATTCATTTATCAGTCTGCACGTCTAGGAAACTTCTCTTATCGATTTCAGAATCTTTTGCCTGGAGATTATTTCATTGATCTTCATTTTGTGGAGATCATAAACACAAATGGACCTAAAGGAATGAGGGCATTTAATGTATTCATACAGGATGAGAAGGTAAGTCGACGAAACAAAGAAATTTGTTCTAGTTTGTATTATTTGAAATATGTGATATTGGCTTTTAGAATTTATTGTCTTTTTTAAAATGACAGGTTCTATCTGATTTTGATATCTTTTCCATTGTTGGAGCCAATAAGCCATTACAACTACTTTACTCGAGAATCTCTGTGAAGGATGATGGGATGGCTGTAATTAGGTTTGAAGGGGTAAATGGAAGCCCACTGGTTAGNTACAACTACTTTACTCGAGAATCTCTGTGAAGGATGATGGGATGGCTGTAATTAGGTTTGAAGGAGTAAATGGAAGCCCACTGGTTAGTGGAATTTGCATAAGGAAAGCGCCTAAACTGTCAGGTATCTTCCTTCCTTCTGCCTTATCTTATTTTGANGCTGTAATTAGGTTTGAAGGGGTAAATGGAAGCCCACTGGTTAGTGGAATTTGCATAAGGAAAGCGCCTAAACTGTCAGGTATCTTCCTTCCTTCTGCCAGGTGGATTTATATATTATTCTATTTCTCTTTGAAATTGAGTTTTTATGGATAACATGTATTTGAAGCCATTTTCTGGTCACTTTATCTTCTGCCTCAAATGCAGCTCCTCAAGTGAAACATGAATATGTTACATGCAAAAATTGTGCCTCTGAGATCGAAGTCCCTTCAGCTCAGGTATGATGCAACTTAATGTGAAGAGTTGCAAATGTGAATTTTTTCAATGTTTGTCATGTCGGATATTCATTTTTTGGTTTTTTCAGAACAAAGTCATACGAATGAAATCGACAGCCAAGTACGAGAAGAAGATACAAGAGCTAACCATGCAGTGCCAGCTCAAGACAGATGAATGTTATCAGGCTTGGATGTCTTGGACTACAGCAAATGAGCAGCTAGAGAAGCTTAGGATGGAACTGGACAATAAGTCATTTCACACCTACTCTCTCGGTAAGATAGAATAACATGGACTTTCGTAAGGTTTCTCTTTTGAAAAGCACATGTTCTTTTTAATATTTTAGTGAAAAAGTAATCATCGTTAGAAGGTTCAATGGCAGTTTTTAATCTTATAATATTCTTGGTGTCTAGTNGAATAACATGGACTTTCGTAAGGTTTCTCTTTTGAAAAGCACATGTTCTTTTTAATAGTTTAGTGAAAAAGTAATCATCGTTAGAAGGTTCGATGGCAGTTTTTAATCTTATAATATTCTTGGTGTCTAGCATTCATCACTTTTTAAAATTACAATGATGTTTATGTCTTGTAATTCCCTGTCACCAAAAAGAAGCTGGAATAAAAAAAAAAAAAACCTTGGGTTAAATGATTTAGATCAATTGCAGTGAATTTCTCGAACAAAAATGGAATCAGTTGTTAACAATACTTGGTCTGGTTGGCCTTTGAATTTAGACGTAATGGGACCATATCTGGGAACTTGCAACAATAATTTGAGAATTTGGGTGTTTGGAAAACTGGAGCCTGTTTAATACTTTTTCCTTTTCCTTTTTTGTCCTGTCTTAGATCAAACTGTGGAGAAACAAGCTGAAAAGCTAAGGGGTATCTCTAGCAGGTATGAGCGAGACAAGAAATTCTGGGTTGTGGTAGTCAATGACATGGAGCATAAAGTAAAGGTAATTGATATAATTCATGAAAATGACACAAACTAGTGCTGTTTTAGTGTGAAATGAGGAATTTTCTATTTTTATTTTGTGATATTGAGTATGTATCCTATCAGATGATGAAACAAGAGTACTCTCAGCTCTCTCAAGAAGCACACGAGTGTGCTAATTCAATCCCTGAGTTGAACAAAATGATTTTTGCAGTTCAGGCATTGGGTAATTTTATATTTTGCATAATCCTTCTAAATTGCATACGATTACAAATTATCATTTGCTTGGAATCTCCTTGTAGTTGCACAGTGTGAGGATCTCAAAGTGAAATACAGCCAAGAGCAAGCAAAGAGAAGGAAACTCTATAACCAAGTTCAGGAGACAAAAGGTGTGTTCTTATCTCCTTTGTCATCTATAACACAAAGTCATATCATGTTTGTTTGAATAGCCAACAAATTTGAGGTATTTTTAGTCTCATCAATAACTGTTGCAATCAGGGAACATCAGGGTATTTTGTCGATGCCGTCCATTAAGCAAGGCAGAAGTCTCAGCGGGTTATTCCACTGTGGTTGAATTTGACACAGCCAAGGACGGGGAACTTGGAATTCTGAGTGGTGGATCCACAAAAAAAACTTTCAGATTTGATCAAGTATACACACCAAAAAATGATCAAGGTGTTTGATACAGTAGCATCGTTTGGATAACATGCTATTTATTACTCTTTCCATACAAACTTTGTATTGATAGGTCCTTTTTCTGTTAACAGTTGATGTGTTTAAGGATGCCTCTCCAATGGTGGTATCAGTTTTAGACGGCTATAATGTCTGCATATTTGCTTATGGGCAAACAGGAACAGGAAAGACATTTACGATGGAGGGTACTGAGGAGAACCGGGGTGTTAATTATAGGACTCTTGAGGAACTGTTCAAAATTGCAAAGGAAAGGAGTGAAACATTTATATATAACATATCAGTTAGTGTACTTGAAGTCTATAATGAGCAGATAAGGGACTTGCTGGCCACATCGACAACATCAAAGAAGTAAAATTCTTCACTTTTCTCTGCTTCGATAAAAGTTGCTATTACACATAAGCCATAACAGATTAAATTTCTATATGGGGTAATGTTAGGTTGGAGATAAAGCAAGCTTCTGAAGGATTTCATCATATTCCTGGAATAGTGGAAGCACAAGTTCATAACATAAAGGAAGTATGGAATGTGCTACAGGCTGGAAGCAGTGCCAGGGCTGTTGGATCCAATAATGTGAATGAGCATAGCAGTCGTTCTCACTGGTAACTAGCTCTATAGCATTTTTTTTTTATGTTGCTTGACTATAGTCATCAATTGATTTTGTAATTTGCAACTGCAATTAAGTTAACTGTCAACATGATTTCTGCCATATTTATCCTCACTTCAGTATGCTCTGTATAATGGTAAGAGCCAAGAACTTGATGAATGGTGAGTCCACCAAGAGCAAGCTTTGGCTTGTGGATTTGGCAGGCAGTGAGAGGATTGCCAAGACAGATGTGCAAGGAGATCGGCTCAAGGAAGCTCAGAACATCAATAGATCACTTTCAGCCCTTGGAGATGTAATATCTGCTTTGGCAAGTAAAAGCAGTCACATTCCTTACAGGTTCACTTTAGCCTATCTTGCTTTTCATATTATGAATGCTCCATTACCTATATGTTGATTTTTATTTTTTTTGTTTACTGGTTTTAGGAACTCAAAGCTCACACATTTACTCCAGGATTCATTAGGTAAATCTTCTTCTTCCCACCTTATCATTTTTTTTCTTTTTCGTGGATCAGAATTCTGACTACATTGATTTACTTGAATTGGTATTAGAATTTGGGAAAGGTTTGATCACCCTTTTGATAGGGATATTTTACCTCATGCATCTGGTCAACTCTTTCTACTTAGCTAATTTATCTTTTGTTGTAGGGGGTGACTCCAAAACATTGATGTTTGTGCAAATTAGTCCTTCAGAGCAGGACTTGAGTGAGACTCTGAGTTCATTAAATTTTGCAACCCGGGTTCGAGGGGTCGAGTTGGGTCCTGTAAAAAGGCAAATAGATGCAAGTGAGCTTCAAAAGATGAAAATGATGGTAGGTTTGGCATCTTTTAACTGTTGTTTTTTTCCTGTACAAATGCCTTGCTATTCTGTAACATCTTTAGTAATGATTATTACTTCTTTATCATTTATTTGTTTATTTCTAATTTACATGAAGCTTGATAAAGCAAGGCAAGAATCTAGATCCAAAGATGAATCCTTAAGGAAGCTAGAGGAGAGCTTACAAAACTTTGAAAGCAAGGCCCGAGGCAAAGATATGAATTGCAGAAACCAACAGGAAAAGATCAAAGAACTGGAAGGTCAGCTTGAGTTGAAGACAGTGCTACACAGTCAGTCAGAGAAACAAGTTTCACATCTTTCAGAGAGATTGATTGGGAAGGAAGAAATTTGTGCTGGTCTTCAACAGAAGGTTGTATTTAAAATGATTGGTCATGTCCTTTTGGGTACTTAATCTGCTGAAGGTTAGAGATTTAGGTAACAAGCTTAGGAGGCAAAAGCAGCCTAGAGTCTTTAGAAATACCAACAGATATTTGTGACAAACTTTTAACATTTTTTGTTGTGGTCGTCGATCTTAAAACATGTGGACTTTTACATAATGAAAACGTCTCACTTGTGAGGTTGTGATTGAATGAAATGGGATTTTAAAGTTTTCTGAGATTAATTTATTAATTATCATTAGTTGTTGTAACTTTCCGCTCCCCCACTTTATGATTATTCAAAAGAACTTGACAATTAGACCAATAATAAAAGATCGCTGCAAACTAACTTGTATACTTGTAAAGCAGGTCAAGGACCTTGAAACCAAGCTGAAAGAGCAAGCTCGAGAATCCGAGTTTCGTTCTGTCATCATCCAACAAAAGGTCGTCCACTTGGTGTATTATTTTAGTAAGTATATTATTTTAATAATAAGATGCTAACCTTAAAATTTATGTTTTATGTGGTTTCAGGTTGAGGAGCTTGAGAGAAAACTGAAAGAACAAGAACAGAACTCAGAATCCATTGTACTTCGTCAAAAGGTCCTGCTCCTTTCTATCTTTTAGTCTAACAAATCAAATCCATATTTCATTTCAAGAAACTTGCCAGGTATCCTGAAAGATCAATTTAAGAATTTTTTAATTGACGTGCATCACATCNAATCAGGGAACATCAGGGTATTTTGTCGATGCCGTCCATTAAGCAAGGCAGAAGTCTCAGCGGGTTATTCCACTGTGGTTGAATTTGACACAGCCAAGGACGGGGAACTTGGAATTCTGAGTGGTGGATCCACAAAAAAAACTTTCAGATTTGATCAAGTATACACACCAAAAAATGATCAAGGTGTTTGATACAGTAGCATCGTTTGGATAACATGCTATTTATTACTCTTTCCATACAAACTTTGTATTGATAGGTCCTTTTTCTGTTAACAGTTGATGTGTTTAAGGATGCCTCTCCAATGGTGGTATCAGTTTTAGACGGCTATAATGTCTGCATATTTGCTTATGGGCAAACAGGAACAGGAAAGACATTTACGATGGAGGGTACTGAGGAGAACCGGGGTGTTAATTATAGGACTCTTGAGGAACTGTTCAAAATTGCAAAGGAAAGGAGTGAAACATTTATATATAACATATCAGTTAGTGTACTTGAAGTCTATAATGAGCAGATAAGGGACTTGCTGGCCACATCGACAACATCAAAGAAGTAAAATTCTTCACTTTTCTCTGCTTCGATAAAAGTTGCTATTACACATAAGCCATAACAGATTAAATTTCTATATGGGGTAATGTTAGGTTGGAGATAAAGCAAGCTTCTGAAGGATTTCATCATATTCCTGGAATAGTGGAAGCACAAGTTCATAACATAAAGGAAGTATGGAATGTGCTACAGGCTGGAAGCAGTGCCAGGGCTGTTGGATCCAATAATGTGAATGAGCATAGCAGTCGTTCTCACTGGTAACTAGCTCTATAGCATTTTTTTTTTATGTTGCTTGACTATAGTCATCAATTGATTTTGTAATTTGCAACTGCAATTAAGTTAACTGTCAACATGATTTCTGCCATATTTATCCTCACTTCAGTATGCTCTGTATAATGGTAAGAGCCAAGAACTTGATGAATGGTGAGTCCACCAAGAGCAAGCTTTGGCTTGTGGATTTGGCAGGCAGTGAGAGGATTGCCAAGACAGATGTGCAAGGGGATCGGCTCAAGGAAGCTCAGAACATCAATAGATCACTTTCAGCCCTTGGAGATGTAATATCTGCTTTGGCAAGTAAAAGCAGTCACATTCCTTACAGGTTCACTTTAGCCTATCTTGCTTTTCATATTATGAATGCTCCATTACCTATATGTTGATTTTTATTTTTTTTGTTTACTGGTTTTAGGAACTCAAAGCTCACACATTTACTCCAGGATTCATTAGGTAAATCTTCTTCTTCCCACCTTATCATTTTTTTTCTTTTTCGTGGATCAGAATTCTGACTCCATTGATTTACTTGAATTGGTATTAGAATTTGGGAAAGGTTTGATCTNATCTTCTTCTTCCCACCTTATCATTTTTTTTCTTTTTCGTGGATCAGAATTCTGACTACATTGATTTACTTGAATTGGTATTAGAATTTAGGAAAGGTTTGATCACCCTTTTGATAGGGATATTTTACCTCATGCATCTGGTCAACTCTTTCTACTTAGCTAATTTATCTTTTGTTGTAGGGGGTGACTCCAAAACATTGATGTTTGTGCAAATTAGTCCTTCAGAGCAGGACTTGAGTGAGACTCTGAGTTCATTAAATTTTGCAACCCGGGTTCGAGGGGTCGAGTTGGGTCCTGTAAAAAGGCAAATAGATGCAAGTGAGCTTCAAAAGATGAAAATGATGGTAGGTTTGGCATCTTTTAACTGTTGTTTTTTTCCTGTACAAATGCCTTGCTATTCTGTAACATCTTTAGTAATGATTATTACTTCTTTATCATTTATTTGTTTATTTCTAATTTACATGAAGCTTGATAAAGCAAGGCAAGAATCTAGATCCAAAGATGAATCCTTAAGGAAGCTAGAGGAGAGCTTACAAAACTTTGAAAGCAAGGCCCGAGGCAAAGATATGAATTGCAGAAACCAACAGGAAAAGATCAAAGAACTGGAAGGTCAGCTTGAGTTGAAGACAGTGCTACACAGTCAGTCAGAGAAACAAGTTTCACATCTTTCAGAGAGATTGATTGGGAAGGAAGAAATTTGTGCTGGTCTTCAACAGAAGGTTGTATTTAAAATGATTGGTCATGTCCTTTTGGGTACTTAATCTGCTGAAGGTTAGAGATTTAGGTAACAAGCTTAGGAGGCAAAAGCAGCCTAGAGTCTTTAGAAATACCAACAGATATTTGTGACAAACTTTTAACATTTTTTGTTGTGGTCGTCNTGGTCATGTCCTTTTGGGTACTTAATCTGCTGAAGGTTAGAGATTTAGGTAACAAGCTTAGGAGGCAAAAGCAGCCTAGAGTCTTTAGAAATACCAACAGATATTTGTGATCTTAAAACATGTGGACTTTTACATAATGAAAACGTCTCACTTGTGAGGTTGTGATTGAATGAAATGGGATTTTAAAGTTTTCTGAGATTAATTTATTAATTATCATTAGTTGTTGTAACTTTCCGCTCCCCCACTTTATGATTATTCAAAAGAACTTGACAATTAGACCAATAATAAAAGATCGCTGCAAACTAACTTGTATACTTGTAAAGCAGGTCAAGGACCTTGAAACCAAGCTGAAAGAGCAAGTTCAAGAATCCGAGTTTCGTTCTGTCATCATCCAACAAAAGGTCGTCCACTTGGTGTATTATTTTAGTAAGTATATTATTTTAATAATAAGATGCTAACCTTAAAATTTATGTTTTATGTGGTTTCAGGTTGAGGAGCTTGAGAGGAAACTGAAAGAACAAGAACAGAACTCAGAATCCATTGTACTTCGTCAAAAGGTCCTGCTCCTTTCTATCTTTTAGTCTAACAAATCAAATCCATATTTCATTTCAAGAAACTTGCCAGGTATCCTGAAAGATCAATTTAAGAATTTTTTAATTGACGTGCATCACATCGAGAGTTTTTTTCTGCAAAGCTCTCTGTGACATTCTTTTCCAGTGTTCTTGAAGAAGTCCTAATTTGTGCTTCTCTGATCCATTTGATTTTAAACTGGTATCACAGTTTGAAACATTTATCATGATAACATTCCTTGAATTTTTATATCCTCGTATTTCCGCCTATCCAAATCTATTGGCTTTGCGTAAACTGTTGTCAGGCCAAACATTTGATAACCAAATTTGTTACATTCCTTATCCGTGACGAGATTTTGATATAAAATTGTTGACATTAATAGCTAAAAAATGAGCTAAAGTGCTACTATCTTTTCCTTGTGTAATGGTAGATTAATGAGCTTGAAGACAAGTTCAGGGTGCAAGAACAACAGTTGGCATGTACCCTAGTTTCAGATTCTGCTAATTCATTAAGATCCACTCCAACTGAAGATAAACGCTGTGTTAGAGACGAGACTATGAATGAGGCTGACCGCTATATTCTGAGGAGTTCAAACTCAACTAACCGCCAAATGAGTCGGGGGTCTAATTTGCTAAAGGGAAATGACTTCCGTCATGACATAAGAAGGAAAAGATTATCCAGAAATAGTGAAACAGAGAACATCATTTTATCATCTTCTCTCAATGAAAAGAAGGCCAGGCAATCTGACCCACCGAAACCATTTCCCAGGGTCACAAAAACAGCAAACCCGGCAACAAATGCTCCACGACGCTTGACTCATATCCGAACAAACGGAGATCCCATTCAAGGAGTTAAAGAGATGGATAGCAAGAAAAGGATCTGGTCAAGATAGCAAGGTGAAACTAGTCGAAGCCAACTTGTAATTGTGTTGTCTTTTCAACTAACATTTACGTTATGGATAAAATTTTCCTATCCTTCACTGTGTAGTAGATTGCTAGTGTGCTTGATGTCAAACTAAATGTAATCCCCCATATGTATGGTATATTCTTGAGGAGAAATGAAATGTAATCCATATTCTGGGAATCCTAAGCTGTGACAATGTTATTCTTGTTGCCCAAATTCAGTCACCAGACTAAGTAATATATTTTTCGATTTTGTATTTTGAAAATTACAATTTAATCAACCCAAGTTTCCAACTCAAATAAACCAAGTTATAACTCAATGAGATTGTGCTAAGATCCATTATGAAGACTTGTTAGGATCAATCCCATGTGTTTTTGTGTTGACTTAGTTCCATTATAGTAACCCCTAACACAAAGCAGACTTTTTTTTCGGAGGCTCACTTCGCTCAAGATATTTGGGACCAATGGTGCACGCTTGACTTATGACCTTCCATATCAATTGGTTATAACTTTATCTTCTTTTTGAAATGTTACCAAATTAGTACTATAGATTTTTCTATATTTGTTTCAAAAGCATTATGTCATCGATACCAACTACCAACTGATGGAATGTTGAACAAATGATGATATATCAACAAACATATTATACTTAAGACTTGAGATGTGATCCATATTCTGCGAATGTTAAACTGTGACAATGTTATTTTTGATGTCTAGATTTAATCACCAGACTAAATAATGTATTTTTCGATTTTGTATTTTGAAAATTACAAGTTAATCAACCCAAGTTCTGACTCAAATAAATCAAGTTATAACTCAATGAGATTGTGCTGAGATCCATTATGACGACTTGTTAGGATCAATCCCACTTTTAGGGTTAACTTATTTCCATTATAGTGCCCCAAACACAAAGGACACATTTTCCTCGACGGCTCGCTTTGCTCAAGAAATTTGGGACCAATGGGTCACACAATGGAGCACATTTGACTTTTGACCTTCAATATCAATTGGTTATAATTTTATCTTCTTTTCGAAATGTTACCAAGATGTTACTATAAATTTTTCTATATCTGTTTCAAAAACGTTATATCATCGAGATACCAACTGGTGGAATGTTGAACAAATGATGATATATCAATAAGCATATTATACTCAAGACCCGAGTTATACCAATCGCTTTATGTTATCCCTTACACATTCCACTTTTTCATATTGCAGCTTAAACAAAAAGTCCACTGTTGGAGCAAGGTAAAATTCAAACCAATAGTTTAAGCACCCATTTTTTCAACAACCGAACATACGATTACAAATTTGGAAAACAACTTTATTTAGTCGCAATAAGTTGATTGTTGTAGTACAAAAAGACTTGTTCAGACACCAGAGTGGAGGACAGGATAAAACAATTGGATACTAAAGTCTCTGGATGTTCATTCTCATTTTCCCAAGTCTCGTTGATAATGAGTATAAATATCCAGTGATTAGGCAGCCTTAAGTGTGTTCCCAACGTCAATCCCGAATTGATATCTAACATCAGCTTTCACAAGACGCTCCATAGCAGTGTTCACATAGTCCATTGGAATAACCTCAATGTCCACTGTTATGTTGTGTTCAGCTGCAAAATCAATCATTTCTTGGGTCTCCTTCATCCCCCCAATGCCACTTCCAGCCACTAACTTTCTCTCTGTTACACCATAAACCAATGTAGAGTAGGAAGGATTAGATAGAAAACCATAGAACATGAATAATGATGTACAAAAAATGCAAGTACTCTGTTAGCCAAAGTTCCCATTATTTAACTAGCTCCTTTCATTGGTAATGGTCAAATACTTGCCCGTAAGTAAAGCAAATACTGGTAGCTCCAATGGCTTCTCTAGTGCCCTAACCACAACCAGCTTCCCATTAGATTTCAACAGACCGAGCAATGGCAGGAGAGGATGAACTGCAGAGACTGTGTCGATGATACCATCCATTGTACCCATAGCAGCCTATATATATTCCACATATCGGTATGAGAATTGGTATAAACTTGAGAGTCTCCACAAAGTTCAAACTGAAACANCCACATATCAGTATGAGAATTGGTATAAACTTGAGAGTCTCCACAAAGTTCAAACTGAAACATATTCAAAATAATGATAACCTGCATCTGATCTGGATCACGGCTGACCAAAAATGAATCAGCACCAAGATGTTCAATGGCCTCCTCTTTGTTGCTTGGGGATGTACTAATGACTGCCACCTTGACCCCCAAAGCCNGTATGAGAATTGGTATAAACTTGAGAGTCTCCACAAAGTTCAAACTGAAACATATTCAAAATAATGATAACCTGCATCTGATCTGGATCACGGCTGACCAAAAATGAATCAGCACCAAAATGTTCACTGGCCTCCTCTTTCTTGCTTGGGGATGTACTAATGACTGCCACCTTGACCCCCAAAGCCTTTGCAAACTTCACACCTACGTGTCCCAATCCACCTAAACCCACTACACCCACATGCATTCCAGGCTTGTCAAGTCCATAATATTTCAAGGGGCTATAAGTTGTGATTCCAGCACAAAGAAGGGGAGCACCAGCATCAAGAGGCAGATTTTCAGGCCAACGAACCACAAAGTGCTCATTAACAACTAAAATATCAGAGTAACCTCCATATGTCGGAGTTCCATCATAGTAGATGGAATTATAAGTAAGGATGAATTTGGGACAATAATTTTCAAGATCATTGGCGCAGTTGTCACGCGAGTGACATGATCCAACTATGCACCCCACTCCAACTTTGAACTTTTTTACCTTGCCACCCACTTCCGTTACTACACCCACAATCTCGTGCCTGCACTGATCAAATTTTAAATTCACATTCCNTTATCTCCAACTTTGAACTTTTTTACCTTGCTACCCACTTCCGTTACTTCACCCACAATCTCGTGCCTGCATCGATCAAATTTTAAATTCAAAAACGTGACAAGTAAAACTAACATAATTCATCATCTATCCTAATGAAAGTAGAAGACTAATAACTGACTATTTTTTCGCATGCCATGTTATTTGACAAAGCAGATTAGTATGGAAATTCAGTATAAAGTTTGTGAAGAGTTATTTTGGAGATTGGTACATCAGGAACATCAATCTTAATCTTTTATAGTGACTAATTTATACTATTGTCCCAAGAGGTTTTCCACAAGAAAAATTCCATCACCCTGCTTCCTGCAGACCTATATAGTGGTGGCTTATTTTCAAGGAAAATATCTCGATAATTCCAAATTTACAATCACCACATTATATATGTGTGTGTGTGTGTGTTTAGTTAATATTTTAAAGTAAACAAACAAATGTACTCTGATTAAAGACGTTAAAATATAAATCATAAATAAACCGTCGTCGTTAAACAACCTAGGCAATTGTTGGGGGAAAGCGGGATACCCTGTTTTATTATATAGAAGACTAAAATATTATGTGCAAAACACTTTTTTTTTTTTTATTGTGGTTACAAAATTAAAATATAAAACTTGTAATATTAGCCGTGGAATCGAACATTTTAAGTGGTTTTTTATATAGATATAGATTACTTTCACAACAGTCACATTTGCTTTACAATGAAATTATGAACTCTTTTTTTTTTTTTTTAAATGAGAGAACTGTCTAAGTAGGCCAAATTGGACCTAAGCATGCAACCACCCACTAATAAGTAAACCTGGTATAACAAATGACTTAAAAAACATCGCTCTAAACAGTTCGATGTTAGATAGTTTTTCTTTAAAAATGGTACACAATTAAGGACAAGACTACGGTACTCACTCCGTACCGTACATCTAAATTTTATAATTTTGATGGGTTTTTGATATAAGATTTGAGATTTGTTTCCGAAAAAAATTATACTACTTTTAAGATTTGAATTATAATTTTGTTGAATCGATTACAACTTACCACAAAAATTATAAAAAAAAAAAATACTATTTAGATCTAAAAATTTGACATAATTTGTTGATCTATTGACGTAGTTTCATTAGAATTATTGAATAAACATTAAATTCTAATGTTTGATAGAACTGACAGTTAATTCAAAAGTTACAATAAATTAAGTCAACAAATTAGATTCCAATAACATTATTCAAAAAAAAAAAAATCATAAAATTTGTAATGGCAATACGGTACTGAATTTTTTTTTAATCGTGTAATTACATAGTATCATTGTTACATTAAATCTTGATAGTTGTATAGAGAGAGAGAGGGGGGGGGTGTTCAATCGTACCCGGGAAGGACAGGATACTGGGAAAAGCCCCATTCATTCTTGACAGTGTGAAGGTCGGAGTGACAGATCCCACGATACAATTATTTCAACAACACATCTTCATCTCCAGTTGCCCTGTAACATCATAAATACCCAATACATGTTGGACGATTCTAACACTCATATATATTATTCTATAAAAATACATATATCAAGAGAGAGAGAGAATGTGATTATATTCAATTCACACAACATAATGAAGCGATCGAGAGACAGTGATTGAAGAAGATATATATAGAATACCTGCGGGAGAATTTGAAGGGAGAGAGGACACCGGATGTGTCTCTAGCTGCCCATCCGAAAGCTTTTACTGGGTGTTGTTCCTCTGGTGATTTCGCCATTGGTCGACAAGAAATGAATTGCAGAGAGAGAGAGACAGACAGAGGGAGAGAGGTACTTTGATGAAGCAAGGGGAGAGTGGCGGGTCCTATATATACTTGCGAATGGGCTGACGTCATTGGTAACGTAAGATATTGAGAATGGGCCCACGTCATTGGTGACGTAAGATATTAACCTTTCTAATTAGATATTTAAGGGAATTACACTTAGATCCTCTAAAATTTATTACTTAATCACTTAAATCTTCTATTATTTAAAATATTGCACACAGAGTCCTTAAAATTTGTACATGCGTAACACTTATACCCTTACTTTAAATATATCCGTTAATAAATTCTACTTAAACCCTCCTTAAGTTTGTAAATATGTACTACTTAGATTCCTTAAGTTTAAAATATTATATTTAGACAAAAAATACTTTAATTAAATATAGAATATAAAATATTTTAAATTTAAAATTTTACAATAAAAATTCATGTTCTATTGTATCATTTATTGAAATAAAATTAAAAATAAAAATTTAATTTTTTCTTAAAAAATTGTAATTAGTATACAATTATACTATTTATTGGAATAAAACTAAAAAATCAAATAAGGAGTTTAAGTCATTCATAATAGAACATGAATTTTACATCCAAAATTCATATTCTATTTATTCATTTATTGAAATAAAATCAAAAATAAAAATCTAGTTTTTTGAAAAAAAAAAATCATAGTTAGTATATAATTATACTATCTCTTAGAATAAAACTAAAAAAATTAAATAAGGAATCAAAATGTTATGCACACAATATCTTTCATCTTTAATTGGAGTAGTTTAGTATTTTAATTTGGTCATTTAAACAACCAAATTAAATTTTAATAAATAATATAATTGTATACTAATTATGATTTTTTAAGAAAAAAATTGAATTTTTATTTGTGATTTTATTTCTATAAATGATATAATAGAACATGAATTTTAATATTAAAATTTAAAATATGTGATATTTTATTATTAATTGAAGTATTTTTGGTTTAAACATAACATTTTAAACTTAAAATGTCTAAGTAATATATGTTTATAAAATTTAGGGGATCTAAGTGTAAGTTATTAACGGATATATTTGTAGTAGAATCTAAGTATTACATGTGTACAAATTTTATAGAGTTTGTCTATAATATTTCAAATATCAAAAAATTTAAATGATTAAATAACAAATTTTAAGAGGTCTAGATATAATTCTGTCAAAATATTTTTTTTTTTTCCTCTCTTGGGTGTAAAAAGACATTTTAAGGTTTATGGGCTGACGTCATTAGTGACCATCACTTAATAAAAAAATTTTCTTTTGGGGGGTAAAATGACACGTTAGGGTTTATTTTTGTCTTTTTGTTGGGGAAAAGATTCCAATCCACAACTTGTACTTACGTTGTTCAACAGATTTGATTCCATTAAAAAATTTTACTAGTCAATCCAACTCTAATTGATTAGTTAGAGTTAACATTTTTTTATTTAATGTTATAAACGTTATTTTGTCTTTCTGAGAAAGAGGTTTGTAAAACGCTATTTAATGGGATCCGTGCATCTAACAAGGTCATTGCTAATATCTTTTCAACAAAATAATATTATTGACAGTTAAGTTAAACTATACATTTTAAATAAGTTATAATTTTTCTTGATTGATAATAGACTTTTGTGATTAATTATAATTTAAATCCTTAAAATATTGAAAGTTGATTTTTGGTACAGTACTAAACGAAGTACTGTATTTGGTGCCCTTTTAAAAGTTGAGTGTTTTTTTTTTTTTTGAAGACATTTCAAAGTAGAGTTAATAATTGCATATTATGTATATTGCAAGAAGGTGAATTGACATATTAAGCCTCGAAAAATTGTATAAATTTCTGTTTTCTAAAATAATTTCTGAAAATAAGGTAGACATTTTGGTGTAATTTAGTGAACTTAATCCTGTATGATTGATTGCATACTATTTAATTAGTCACATCCATACTAGAGTACGATATATTAGTTTTAAATTGCTCGCTTTTTTGTAATATTATTCTTCTGGCTTCCTTATTCTATGCCCATGGTTTGTTGTAGACAATCCAAGAAGAGTACAATTGAAGCTCTTGTCAGCTGACATTGCCTCGCGAGGGAGTTTGATTTTTTTAAAGTTAAAGGTGTAATTCTATCTTAAAGAATTGTAACTATATCTCAAGATATTATAATCTCGAGTAATGTTATAGAAACTTTTTTTATATAAAGATAAGATTTAAAATTGAATTCAGTTCATATCTATGTTTAGTATATAAATACATACACATGTAAGATTCACATATATATCATAATTATTAATAATTATTTGTTCTATAAATAATTATTTTATTTTTGAGCAATTCAATTTGTATGCATGTTAAAGGGTATTATTGTCTTTTGTGTCTTTAATTTCTCAAACCCATCTTTTTTTAGGTTTAACGAAATTTATGATTATGATTTTAATATTTAAAACAATTACAGACCAATTAATATGAGAATCAAAAATTATATTTTTAAAATAAACATGAAATATAGGGATCCTTTAAACTATTTTTTAACACCTATCTTACCAATCTGCCTATACCCTTTTACCATGCAGCAGCCAAGGTCAAGGTATACCAAATCCTTATCTTACTTTATTTGATGTAAACTATCTGGTATTCGACAACCACAAGCTTTGACTGATCCAAATTCGAGTCAGTAGGACAACGGAGGCGGCGAAGCTGTCTATATCGAGTAATCCTTATCTTTTTTTAACCGTCACTTTCTTTCACTTGTAGGACCCCTCTAAACTCTAAAGACAAGTGTGGGGTCCCCAACTATATTTATTTTCTGTAGACCCCACAATGTCTGCAGCCCCTTCCGGTGCCTCCCCCACTATAGCGCACCAAAAATTTTGTTTTATTGACAGTAGTGATGCACGATTGGCGTTGTATCGTGAATATATTTAAATAATATTTTTATATAAAAATTTAAATTATATGTGTAATTAAATCAAATAATAAATTATGTAGCTTTAATTAATTTTTATTTTAAAAAATTTAAACCTAATTAAAAGATAAAATTAAATTTTAATAGACAATATAATTGTATATTAATTATAATTTTTTAAGAAGAAATTGAATTTTTATTTGTGATTTTATTTTAATAAATGATATAATAGAATATAAATTTTAATAGTAAAATTTAAAATATTTAATATTTTATCATTGATTGAAGTATTTTTTGTTTAAATATAGCATTTTAAATTTAACAGATCTAAGTAATATATGTTTACAAATTTTAGGAGATCTAAGTATAATTTATTAACGGATATATTTACAGCAGATGTCTAAGTGTTACACATGTACAAATTTTAGGAGGTCTGTGTATAATATTTCAAATATCAAGAATTTTGAATGATTAAATAACAAACTTTAAAAAGTTTGAGTGTAATTCTCCCTAGATATTTTGTTTGTTTTTTTTTTTTTGTCTTTCTTGGGGGTAAAATGGCATTTTTTGGGCTGACGTAAAATATTAACATTACTTATTAGAGGTTTTTTCTTTTTTGGTGTAAAATGACATGTTAGGGTTTATTTTTGTCTATTTGTTGGGGAAGAGATTGGAATCCACAACTTAAATTAGGTTGTTCAACTTGTTATAAAAAATAAATAAAAAAAGGGAGAATTATACCCAAATTCTCTGAAATTTGTCACTTAATCACTCAAATCTCCTGACATTTAAAATATTATACACAAATCCCTTAAGGTTTGTATGCGTGGAACAGTTAGACCCCTGTTATAAATATATCCATTAATAAATTATACTTAGACTCCCCTAAAGTTTGTTGGTATATAATACTTAGACTTTTTAAGCTTAAAATATTTTACTTAAACCAAAAATACTTCAATCAAATATAAGATATCAAATATTTTAAATTTTACAACCAAAATTCATGTTTCTATTGTATCATTTATTAAAATAAAATTAAAAAAAAATTCTTAAAAAATCATAATTAGTATACAATTATACTATCTATTAGAATAAAACTAAAAAATCAAACAATCAGTCTAAGTCATTCATAATAGAACATGAATTTTACATCCAAAAGTTATGTTCTATTATGTCATTTATTGAAATAAAATCAAAAATAAAAATTTATTTAAAAAAAACATGGTTAATATATATTTATACTGTCTATTAGAACAATACTAAAAAATCAAATAAGGAATTAAACTGTGATGGACACAATATCTTTTAGATTTAATTGGGATAATTTGGTATTTTAATTTGGTCGTTTAAATCACTAAATTAAATTCTAATAGATAATATAATTTTATACTAATTATAATTTTTTAAGAAAAAATTAAATTTTTATTTTTGATTTTATTTCAATAAATGATACAATAGAATATAAATTTTGGTTGTAAATTTTAAAATATTTTATATTTTATATTTGATTAGAGTATTTTTAGTTTAAATACAATATTTTAAACTTAAAGGGTTTAAGTATTATATACCCACAAACTTTAAGAGAGTTTAAGTGTAATTTATTAGCAGATATATTTACAACAAGAGTCTAAGTGCTATGCGTTTATAAACTTCAACGAGTCTGTATATAATATTTTAAATGTCAGCGAGTTTAAGTGATTAAGTGACAGCCTTCAAAGAATTTGAATATAATTCTTCTTTTAAAAAAAAGAACTAGGTTGTTCAACAGATTTGATTCCATTAAAAAATTTTACTAGTCAATCCAACAGTAATTGATTAGTTAGAGTTGACATTTTTTTATTTAATTTTCTAAACGTTATTTTTGTCATTTTCAGAGAGAGGTTTGTAAATTTTTGTCTTATTGTAAAAAAAAAAAAAGAGGTTTGTAAAGTTTATTTTTTCCCTATTGTCTTAATGCCCTAACCATTAATATATGATAGGTTGGGAGAGGGGAATGAAGACGAAGGGGGATGGGATGCAATCTTCGTGCATCTAACAAGGTCATTGCTAATATCTAAATAACCCTTATTTATTTTATTGTAGAGAGTAGTAATCAAAAATCAAATTTTAATAGGCTCTATATTTATACTAATTAAAATAAAGAGTTTTTTTAATCTTAAGGAATAGTTCAACTAGTACTATTGACGAATTATAAATCTAAATATTTTGAATTCGAATCTTAATAACTATTTAAGATCAGACCATAAAAGATTTATTTGTCATTAATACTCTAATCTCCACATGAGTAGTCTCTGCTTTTGACTAGAAATCCCTAAGCCTTGTTTGACTCTCTATATTTGGAGAGTCTAACTCATTTTTTTATTTTATTTTTAATAAATAAAAAAAATAACTCATGTACATTTTTCATTAAATGTTATTGACTATAAACTTATTTTTTTATTAAAATAGAGACCTCATTGAAATTGTCTAAAATATTTCACTTTTTATTTTAAAATTTTATTAAAGATGCCCTCCAAAATAACAAGTACTTATTAGAGATGCCTTATGTAAAAGAAACAAATGGTTGAGCAAATGTTTTGAGGAGCTTTCCGTCCTTTATTTTATAATTTTTTTTTGTAATATAAACTTACTTAATGGTGCTCGAAAATACTAGCTCAAGCCCAAGTCCTTGATTGGGGAATTACAGTGAGGAGGTTTTATGGATAAATGGACCAGTAGGGGATTATAGGGAATTACAGTGAGCGGTTCACTTTAATTATAAAATAAGTTTATCCCGTTTGAACTGGGGATGAACTATATGTATTAGACAGTAGATGTATATAGAGATACCTGTATAAACTCGTGCAAGGATGAAAGAGGGGATGAACTGACACTCACCCCCACTTTATCCGTTATTATTATTTTATATATATACATGTTACTGTGAATACAAATCTATATATTATTGATTGATTTTTTCTTTTGAAATTTGTTTTGTTTTTTGATTTTTTAATAGTTTTGGCTTGTAAAAGTGTAGATTTTTGTGTTTTTATATTTTTTGATGCTAGATTATGTTATGTTACATTATGTTGTGTTGCATGATATTGTGTTGGATTTACAAGGGAGATAAACTTTTAATTATATTATGTTAGATTATGTGGTAGACAAAGTTTTAATTATATTATATTGTAAATGACAAACTTTTAATTATATTATGATATTTTATAATTATGTTGGATTATTTAGAATGTTAGATTTATTTAAAATTTTGGATTATGTTGACTTGGACTTAAGCTTGAATGGGAAAGGTGGACGGGGGTGGGAGCGGAGGTGAAGGCGGGGGATGGGCTGGGGGGCAAGGATTACAATTTTACCTGCAGACGGGGATGAGGATGAAAATTATAGCTGTTAAATAGGGTGGACCGGGGATGAACAAAGTTTTTTTAAGTGGATACGAGGATGGAGATTATACCCCCGCCCCCGCTTTGGTTCACTGTCATTCCTAATTCTTCCTAGATATTTTGTTTATTGGCTGACGTCATTATGACGTAAAATATTGACATTACTTATTAGAGTTTTTTCTTTTGGGGGGTAAAATGACATGTTAGGGTTTATTTTTGACTTTTTGTTGGTGAAAAGATTCAAATCCACAACATATACTAGGTTGGTCAACAGATTTGATTCCATTAAAAAATTTTACTAGTCAATCCAATTGTAATTGATTAGTTAGAGTAAATATTTTTTATTAGTTTTATAAGCGTTATTTTGTCTTTTTGAGAAAGAAATTTATAAAAATTTATCCCTCATGAATACTTTAATCTTCACGTAAATGGTTTCTGTCTTTTACCAGAAATCCTTGATTGTTGAACCAAAAAAAAAAAAAATACTAAGTCTTATTTGACTCTCTATATTTGGAAAGTCCAACTTATTTTTTATTTTATTTTTAATAAATAAAAAGATAGCACATATACATTCTTCATTAAATACTATTGACTATAAACTTATTTTTTTCACTAAAATAAAGAGTCTATTGAAATTGTCTAAAATTTTTCACTCTTTGTTTTAAAATTTCATCAAATATGCTTTCTAAAATAGAGAACATTATTGGATATGCTTTATGTAGAAGAAACAAATGGTTGAGCAAATAATTTGAGGAGCTTTCCTTCCTTTATTTTATAATTTTTTTTGTTATATAAACTTATTTAATTATAAAACATGAATTCACCCATCAAATTCCTTTAAGTTGTTCGTATAACTACTTCTATCATTGTTACCCATTTAATTAATTACTCATTTAAGACTTAAAATCAAATTAGTTGAGCCCATTAATTGTTGATTTTCTATGTATCAAATTGAATAGGGTGGGATCAGGGATGAAGAATTAACAACTAGATTTTCGTCCTATCACGATTGAATTAAGGGGAATAGGGATTCTTTTTCATGGTCACCATGTTATCGCTAATAATAGGCATAACTTTTAGAGGTGGTTCAGTGGTTGAACTTGACTTTTGACACATCCTC